CGCACACACACACACACACACACACACACACACACACACACACACACACACACACACACAGCATGGTTCTTTGGGAAATAAAATCAAGGTGTCACAATGTCATTGCGGTCTGTGCGACAGAGAGCTATCCAACACAGTTAAAAATTTAAAAATAAAAATGAATTCAAGTCCGCTTATACTGCATGCTGTACGTTCTCAACGCAAATTGGCTGTTGCCGACAACGACGGACAGAATGGGCTAGCCTCAAATAATAACGGAATGATGACTGACGGACTGACGTGCCCACTACTGCTCGGGAATCAGCAGCTGAGTGACAAGCAGGACGGGCAAGGGAAGAGGGGCAGGGGAGTGTTGTGAGCTGATGGGTGATTTCATATGTAAATCAAAGAAAGGCTGCTGTGCTCCCACTCTCAGTTTAGAGTTAATATGATAATAGCATGTTTGTAGGGGCTCCTTGTTGCTTTTTTGTTACTAATTTCTTGCTTGTTTATGTTTTATTGGTTGTTTGAACTTTGGTACACGTGTCAGGAACTTGGAGACCGGCAAACGGCACCAGATCAGAACCTGTTTCAAGTGCCTTTCATAACTCGCATAACGACCAGCATACATGCATAAAATGGACAAATAAGAAATCTGCTTGATGCATCTTGCGTATGTTTGAAAGATTACAACTCAATGGAAATTGCTATGTTGGAATAAATATGTCAGGCGATACGCATCATATAACACATATTTAACTTGAGCTTCTATTGAGGAGAGTAATGATTATAATGTATGTTTATCATCACTGTAACGGTGTTAAATAAGCTGAAACCCTCTTGTAAACATTCCAAAATAACATGCAGTCGTCTCAATATTAAATGTGTGCATATTTCATACGGTACTCTAAAAATGAAACAATTTTAGTGACATAGATGTTTGCGTATTCATTTAGGTTTTAGAGTTATCAATGTCCTTTTTGGTGCTGACAAGTGACAAAATATTTCATTATCACTCACTCTATATGTCACGGTGAGTAAGATTCTGTGACTCCAATTTCGATTTAGCTCAACTGAAATTTTATGGTGATGTGACTTCACTTGCTTTCGACAAATGTTCTTAATCCGTGCCAAAAACGTTTGGCCCTCAAAAATAGTGTGTTTGTCAAGGAAATTTCAATTATGACACCTTAATATAACTGCCACGTTCAAATAAAATGAGAACATTGCGGACTGAGATGGAGACGGAATACCCAGATGCTACTCAAAAAGTAGATATGTAGAGTTAAAACCAGATGTTCAATCTCTGTATTACTCGACTCTACTCTACACGAGGGTATATTGGTGCTTCATCCACAAGCAGTTGTGTAGCATTAAAAATCAAGAAATAAACTGAAAAGGCGTATGAATCCTAATGTAGGCTTTCCCAATAAAAAAAGTCTACCACCAGCTTCCTTACCGCAGAATATGGATTATTTTTTGTTTGTTTGTTTGGTGGTCCAGTGGTTAGCCTGTCGACCTCACAGTGCAGAGGTACCGGGTTCAATTCCAGCTCCGGCCTCCCTGTGTGGAGTTTACATGTTCTTCCCGTGCCTGTGTGGATTTTCTCCCGGTACTCCAATTTCCTCCCACATTTCAAAAACATGCATGGGAGGCTGATTGAACACTGTAAATTGTCCCTAGGTGTGAGTGTGAGAGCCGAAGGTTGTTCGTCTCTGTGTGCCCTGCAATTGGCTGGCAACCGGTTCAGGGTGTCCCCTGCCTACTGCCCGAAGACAGCTGGGAGAGGCTCCAGCACCCGCCCGCCCCCCGCGACCTTTGTGAGGAAAAAGCAGATCAGAAAATGGATGGATGGATGTTTGCAAAGAAAGGCACAGGAGCTCCTGCACATCCAGTGTGTATACCATGAGAGTGAATTCTAGTAAAATGCCTGTAATCCTTAAAATGCCTTCTCCTCAACACTCCTGGCGAATGACACACGGGTCACCTCCCATTGTGCTCATCCCCCTGCACATTATGCTGACCTATAGCAAGAGAGGTTGTGTATGATTGAGTGTGCATATTCTATCAGTTGCACGAGACTCCTACAGCGGTTTGAATGAACCGAGCACAAGCTCATGAGCACAGCAGTCAGAAGGAGATTGAGGAAAAGCATGGACAGATATCAGGAAGGACAGTGTGGAGAAATCTAACGGTCAGGTGAGGATGGAAGTTGAGCCTGCTGGGCACTCACCTTTGCCAGATCCATGCTGAGTTCACAGGCAAAGTTACTAGATTCTGTCAAAACATCAATATTGATGTGGTCATTTCTGGCAAAGACAGAAACTGCAGATATTCTGTTTGTATTTTTAGCCCATCATTACTGCTGTGCCACTTAGACGGAGAAATATCATGGCCCACTTGCTCTCAGTTTCCTCATTTGCTCTCCGTGGCGCAGGCCGTGGTGCTCGAGCGCTATCTGAGGTGAGCTGTGAATTTCCACACAATTCGAAACAAATAACGCAAGTATGTCGTTGGTGACGGCAGAGAGGGAGACAAGACTATTATTTTCAAGTAAGGAGTTCATTTGTTTCATAAATCATTACCACAAATGAAAATATTGCCCAGACAACAGTAGCTGCAAGCAGGGAGACAAGAATAACAATGAGAGAACACACGGGGTGGGGGGGAAACAATATGCAGCACTTCTGCTTCAAATGAAAAATCATTGCATCACATTCAAAGATTATCAACTGAATGATCTTTAGTGATTTGTCATCAGTAGTGGCTATAAAAGGCACAGTGAGTGTGAATGAGAGCATTTGAGCTGTTGCAGCTTAACTGCAAAAGCCTCTTGTTTACACTTGAAGCCACAGGAGGGACCAGTATGATACCGAACACAACGCAGCAGGTGCTTCATCTTCAAGTAATCCACAATGAATATTTCACAGCCATGGCACACTGATTATTATGTGCCAGCATTCACTCACACACACACACACACACACACACACGCGATTTTATATATATATATATATATATATATATATATACACAATATCGCAATTAACTATTCAAAAGGCTCTTAATTTATTTAGTGCATGCATTATAAGGGCAGCAGGCCACTGGACTAGTGGTTAGCACACCTATCTCACAGTTCTGAGGTTAAGGGTTTGAATTTTGACTCTGGTATATACAGTATGTGGAATTTTCATGGCTTTCTCCATGTAATCCAAAGGTATTGTGTGCCCTGCGGTTGCCTGCTGACTGGTCCAGGGGATACAGCAGCTGTTACCCAAAGTCAGATGGGATAAACTCCTGCCCATTTGTGACCCAAATGAGGACAAGCGCTTTCAAAAATGGATGGATGTACAGTCAATCAGATGATGAGACTAATCTTAAACACCTTGTAGGCTGCAATGGGATTCACTGTTGTATAATACTGCAAGAGGCATATATTTAAAAAAAAAAAAACCGAAATAAAAATGGAATATAACCCTGATCAAGGCCTGGAAGTCAAATTTCTTGTGAACCCACCATTAGCAGCAATGCAAGAAGGAAAATTATGTGGCTGATTCATCAAAGGGAAATACACCACGTAAAAAGAAAAACTCTTGGAGAGAGCAATTGACAACATTAATAATACTTAAGTACTAATGATACTAAAAAAAAAATTATTTAATGCTTGAACAAATTTCTTCGATTGGCTAGCAACCAGTTCAGGGTGTCCCCCGCCTACTGCCCGAAGACAGTTGCGATAGGTTCCAGCACACCCCACCACTCTTTTGAGGATAAGCGGATCAGAAAATGGATGGATGGAAGGGTTTCACAAACTTATGACGGCATGCTTTTTGTCAAAGGTTGCTGAAACTGTAACTTACTTTTTCTTGTGACTTTCCACCAAATCACTCAAATACACTTGAAATGTTTATACATATCAATGTATGTTTCCAAATGACTTTGACAATCCATAGGGATTTGCTGGGATCCATACTGGTCACCTGCAACCTGTACTATTACTAGTCAACCGTTTAAATGTAAAGGGAACGCTGGTCCACCCACATTATGTAATAAAATGTATGGGTGTGTGTATATGATTGGGATTTCTGTGGCAAAGACGATGACACAACATTATCTTCTTCATAAGTACCGGTAAGTGACTCATCTAAATTAAGATGGTGTAAGTAAGGCACAATTAAAGTTGCTTGAAGTAATTCAGTGTTTCCTCATTCAAATGCCAGCTGCTTCTTATGTGCATGTACACCCGCCACCATGGGCATGTTTCATGCAAGTAAAGGGTGGAGATGAAAGGTTTGTGAGAAAAGAGCGAAGGCTGAGCTTTAATTTTGTGAAAAATATGTTTGCCTAAATGCACTGTCTCTATTTGGCTTAAAACATTCATGAGTTTTCCTGATGCACAACCGGGATGAGAAAAAAGAGATTCGGAGGGGATAAAAGAATGATTCAGTAGTTTGATTAATTTTACAAGTGGAAAGAATTTGGCACTTGTCAGCTCCTTGTTTGCCAGTGTCTCGAATTGAAAGAATTACAGAAAAGAAGTTTTCATCTTTCATGACGGAAACCAAGTTGCTGAAAGGATCCATGACATAGAGTAGCTGAGAGGCAAAACGGAAGCGAGTAATTGCATGGCTTGTGGCCCTTGATATGATCTCTTCCTGACATGTGCACATCATCTATTTATACACAGAGCACAAGCATGAAACAGTTCTCTTCCTTTTCAACACTTCTCGGTCTTACTGATAACAACTATCGGATGATGATGAATAAGAGAAGAAAACCAGGCCAGAACATCATTGGGCTTTATTCCCAATTGCGCCGTTGTTTTCATCTAATATGGACATCAGTCACACTTCTGTCAGTTTGTCAATTCAGCACAAAGACCACAAGAGCCAGTACGCAAAGCAACGATGTTTTCACTGGAACCTCAACTAATGTTGTCTTTTTTGTGCCCCCCCCCCCTTTCTTCTGTCTTCCACACGTAGGTTCGGTGTCTCTCAGTGTATTCCTGGTGTCTTTGGCATTCCTAGTATGTGCCCTTTGGCTGGTAGCGCTATGTGGTGTTTGCACATGGTGTCAGCGTAAACTGGTAAGTAACATAATTTTTTTGTGTCAGTCAATCAATCCAAAAACTGCTAAGAGAGCATGCATACCACTAATAAGAGAACGTTTCTGCTTGTGTATACAAATGTCAATAAAAATGGTGTCAATAATTCTGAACAATCTAAAAGCTGACTTGGATCCAGTCACAAGAAGGAGTCATGCCACGTCACCTATGACAAAAAAGTCATTTCAACTCTGGATTTCCATGCGTCTGGGTCATTTCAGAGCATTGTGACATTTGGTGCCTCTCCCAGAGCCATTTCCCAGAAGTTTCATAATAATACATGTGATTGAGGCGCAGGCTGGGAAACGGTTCAAGTAAAGGTATGACGGACAACAAACTTCTTTCTGCACTTGAAGATCAGCAAGAATTTCAAAAAGTATCACGCTCACACACGGTCTATGCTGATGCACAGTACACAAGTTGGAGCGTTTTCCCTCCCTTACCAAGTCATCAAATTGGCTGTCTCTTAATGAATACCCTGAGCGATTAACACCAAGGTTTAAATGCAAGGTTAAACAGGATGGGCACATACAGTACTGTACTTGTGGTTCCAATTGCCGCATACTCAAGACAAGTAAAATCAAACAAAACATTTATGCAGTTACTGGCTTCCCCAAAGTTCTTGGTGGGATCTCTTTATTTTTTGTTATTTAAGTCTTTTTGTTTATATATATTTTTTTGCATATTGTGACATTATGGTGTTATTAAATGGTGCATTAGATCAGTGTTTTTCAATCATTTCTTTCATTAAAAAAATCCCGCGGCACACCACTACCTGAAAATGTGAAAAAAAGCTTATTTTAACAATTAAGTGTTATGTTACAATAAGTGTTTTTTTTTTTTAACATTGAAAATGAACGCAATATTATAACACATTGAATAGGAATCAAATCAACATCAATCTAATATTTGGTGCATTAGTTTTAATGGTCAGTAAAATATAGTCAATTAGAACTTCAATTTGCTCAGGGTCGGATTTTTTTCTGTGTGACAGCCGGTTCTTTTCGTGATTGGCTGCTTAGCATCATTGCATCGTATCGTGTGATTGGCTGGAGACACGGAATTACACAGCAAATTGATACAGAAAAAAAAGTTACATATCTAATTCATTTGCAGTGCGTTCACTGCGCTAGATAGGTTTTCTTGTGTGCTGAGAGTATGCAACCAGTGCGCAGTTGCGCAGCTACGAGGGAACACTGGTGCCATTGCATCCCCGGTGAACGTAAATCTAAATGAAAGATACCTTTCATTGTATTGCCTCGCGACGGAAACTTCGCTTGTCTCGAAGCATAAGGCAGTTTCCTAGCTGCTGCTGCTCCCTACCGGTATGGAAGAGTACTACATGATTACTCTTCCAGGCGATCGACCGCACAGGCATACATATTGTATAATTTCCCACGGCACACCTGACAGTATCTGGTGTGCCGCGGCACAGGGTTTGAAAAACACTGCATTAGATCACTAAATATTCACTGAAGGCCCCATCCATCATCTATCCACCAAACCCACCAACCCATTATCCATTACTGGCATAGACAAACAACCATTCACACTCATGACCACACCTAGGGACAGTTTAGAGTGTTCCATTAACCTACTGGCGGCATACTCGGAGAAAACCCACGCAGGCACGCGGAGAGCATGCAAACTCAATACAGGAAGCCCGGATTTGAACTCTGGACCTCTGTACTGTGAGGCAGATGTGCTAACCAGGAGTGCTCACCCGCCATCCACCATGCTGCCACTCTGTATCCATCCGCTAACGGAATAGATGTAATCCTGCAGTGATTCATAAACTGATGGTGTGTTGCAGTGCATGTTGTCAACACTGGATAGTTAACAATGTCGGGATTAGACACACTTGGCCAAGCCTTCTGGGCCGGCAAAGTCAGCCTTGGATAGTGTGTATTCCTCCACACAGAATTAATTTCTGGTGGTATCTTTGTATTCTATCAGCTGGCAAGTCATCAAAATACTTTGAAGATGCCTCATAATACAAGATGATCAATGTGCGTGCATGTGTGTGTGTGTGTGTGTGTGTGTGTGTGTGTGTGTGTGTGTGTGTGTGTGTGTGTGTGTGTGTGTGTGTGTGTATTTAGCATGCCATGACCATATTTAGATTTTTATAAAAAAGGACATTTGGCCTGGCCGAGAGATACTGAAATGATAGTCAAAGATGCCATATTGGAAACACATGCAGTATGCAATATGGGTCTTGCATATTACAATATCAATATTATTGTGAAATTTAAAATGTACCTAAAAAAAGTCATCTTTATTATCTAATGAACTAAATAATTTTTTTCATGCGTAAAAATCTGAATGTATTCTTCTCCAATTAAGTGCTTTAGTGTTAGTAATGCCCCTAAAGACTGTTCTCTTGTTGGATGGCAATGCGCATTTAAGATTGCATCTCACTGGTCAAAGTTACATCAAAGCATACAATTCTACATGAATTTATTGCACATCTTTGGCATTCTCCATTCTGTACAGCATGTGCCATTATTATAATGACAATATTTTTTCAACATATTCTGCAGCTAGAAAATAAAACAAAAAACATAATAGCAGCTCTCTTTTGAGGGCATACTTAAATATGACAATGTTCTAAATACCTCTTCTGTAGTAAATCGAGCTTTAACAAAATATTTCTTACCATCTTGTCAGGATAATAATGTAAATTATAAAACAGTCTCACAAGGATATTAGTTTAGCAAAGAAAAACATGTCACTTGAGTCTTTCTCATTGTTTTCTTCTCCATCCTGAGTTCCCAGGTCAAAAAATTAAGGAACTCAGTCAACTTTGCTGGTGAACTCTATCGTCATACAGATTTTGGGGGATTTTTCTGTGTCCACATGAGATTAAAATCTGTACGTGCGAGGTTTGCACAGTGCTACCTTTATCATGTGTCATCAGTGTCCTCTACTTCGAACCGTAGTGAAGGGCGGGCGAACCCACTGCAGTTATATTTGGATTGTTCAACGGGGAACGTAACTCAACTGTCAATCCAGTGACTTCAACCACAGCGGTGAAACACAGACGAATAAACGGGACGTCGTATTGCTTGCTTATTCAACTGTGGCTTCATTCCATCCCATTTCAGCAGCAAACAGTTGGCAGTCACGCTGGTAACTGAGCACACCTGCTCCACACACTTGCCCAAACTGCCGCCGCTTGCCTTCTTTTCCGTATTCTCCCCGCCCTGACAGTGTCCATGTCACATATGCTGGTACCAGTGCACTTTGCCTCTCACAGAAAGAAAGAAAGAAAGAAAGAAAGAAAGAAAGAAAGAAAGAAAGAAAGAAAGAAAGAAAGAAAGAAAGAAAGAAAGAAAGAAAGAAAGAAAGAAAGAAAGAAAGAAAGAACGAACGAACGAACGAACGAACGAAAGAAAGAAAGAAAGAAAGTGGTACATGTAGTCTGACAAATCCAGGTGTGGTTGGATGATCGAATAGCCCTTTGGCGTGATTCCATAGGCTTTCTCCGGTGTACATTTGTAGATGTCCTCCTTTTTGCACATTTAATATGATGAAAAGTGGGGTGATTTTAAATCAGCATGATTGAAATTCCCAGCTATAATGTGCGCAGCATCAGGATATGAACTCTGTCGGCTGCTAATTGCTTTGTGCAACTGACCCATAGCAATGACAGCATTAACAAGGGGTGGCACATAAATGACTCATGATTTAAGAATATGGGTCTGCATCTAACCGTCATCTCCCAACTCTGGAGAGCAGTGGTTGTCGACTGTCTATTTTTTGCACCAACTATCATTGACATACATAATGCATAATCCTGGTGATGGCTCTCTTCCACATTTGAGTTGTTTCGGTTCCGATTCCTGGTGCTTGGGAATTGATTCCAGTACTCAACAGAAACGACTTTTTCGGTATTTTAGTGTGTGTGTTTGTGGTGATAAATGTTTCAATATATTTTACAAAATAACAAAACAGCATCATGATTCAAACAAGTTAGCCAAAGAGGATGGACCAAAAATAAGTAAAGGTCTAACATTTTATTAATATGATATAAATAAAATAAATAATAAGTTAATACTGGATTACAAAATACAAAGTGTGAAACAAAGTTCGTTGGAAGGGGCAAATCCAGCTTGGATGGAAACAGTGCAAAAAATTAGGTTTACGAGAATAAATTTTGTAATAGTTGAGCAATAATAAGCATGGAGAGGTGCGTTTCTTGAGCATAGGGAACCAGTGCCATAAATGCAGCCATCTCTGCAATGCCACCCCCATCATTTTGTTTGGCGACCGTCTCCTGCCATTGCTGGCAATAGACGGCAGGACAACAAGTCCGGCCATGGAGCGACATCCCGTGACCGACATATTATGTAATCCTTTGCCTCTCCCCAGCACGTAACAAAGTGGCCAATATATGTACAAATTAGTTTTTATGTAAATCTCGCTGTTGAGGTTTTTAATCAGGTATGTTTTGTCGTCGGGAAATCATGATAGGTCAATCCAACATAATAAAAGTGTTATGTTTTTGTTTAGATTACATTTGGTTTTGTTCCCTCATGTGACCTTTTTGCCTGCACCTGTTCTCATCATCCGTGTCCCCTGTGTTTAACCACTCAGCTCCCTCAAACCTTTGTGTCTTGTCCAGGTGTTTCTGGTTGCATCGTCACTTTGCTTGTATTTAGTTCCCTGGGTTCTGTCAGTGTTTGTTGGATCATTGTGAGTGTCTGTGTGCTCCTGTCATGTTTTGTTTTCTGTCATGGTTTTTTTTTTTTTTTTTTTTGCTACTTTGGTTTCTTGTGATTTTTCAGGAATTTGTTCGAGTACTTAAGTTATTTTTCTCATGTACTCCTGTTTGTTCTTTTGTTAAATACATACTGTATTGGTCACTCCACCCTGCTCCTCCCTGCCTCCCTGCTTTTTGAGGTCCTCCAACTACCATAACGCAAAATGTGACAAAAAGTCCATCACACGACATATCATTCTCGTCTCTCTCCAGCAATCTC